CATGCATACGCCTCGTCCCAAGTGACGCAATTGCCGACGAGCGGGCGGGTGGAGCGGGTGGAGCGGGGGGGCAGCGCTACAGAAACAAGTTTTAATCTCAAATTCGTCTCATACTCTGCCAGCGGATGCTACAGAAAATATGATCCAATATGCAACGCATACAAATGCTACACACCTTTCAATTAAATAGCTCGAAATAGGTTGAAAAGCGACTGCTTGATTGTGAGAGCAGTGGCTCTTAAACTGTAACGCCAAAGCGACTGCTTGATTGTGAGAGCAGTGGCTCTTAAACTGTTAACCCCCAATTTTGTACACTTTTGCGGCTTGATGTTGGGAGGCTATCAATCTACCTGCTAACTAGCAGGGCGCCTACTCTAAAACTGTAAGAAAAGTGGATCTCAAAGTGTATTTATAAGGCACTGCCCTTACAACTGTAAGATTGGAAAATAGACATTGTTGTGAATGCGCGATGTTTTAGTAGGTTGGCTGCAAGAATAGTAGTTCCAAAACTGTAGCCTTAAGGCGGTGCCTTTCCAACTGTAACTTTGGCAAATATACATTTTTGAGTGGATCTAAATATTTTCAATCTAAGGAGGTTTTCGAGCCGTTCAACGCCTCTTACTTTAAAACTGGAAGAATAGTTCCTGTAAAACTGTAGCCTACAAGCGGTGGCTTTCCAACTGTTACTTTTTATATCCACATATAACCCAGAACATATAACCCTGTTGGAACTTGGATTTGCATGCCATTGCGCTTTGCTATGCACAAATTATTGCATTTCTGTATTTAAGTTCCGCAAATTTTACAGCGATCGGACTATAAGCACCGAAGTTGAGCAAGATTGCATTTTCTCATAGTTGGATGGAAAGGAAAATTAATAAATAAATAATTTGTGCGTGTAAGTACAGAAGGAAGCTGAGCTAGGGTATCTGCTAGTCGGGCATTCTGATCAGGCAACTCTTATTTGTTTATATTTTGAATATTCATATTTAAAAAATGAGTTTTTCTAGGCTTCTCACATATGTACGAGCCAAATTCTGCCAGAGTCCAGAGCACTTTATTATAAATTTTGTTTTTCTCTTAAAATCGGACAATATAAATATCACATATCATAAATATACATATATATATATATATACTACAACAAATGTTTCCTCTAAGAGAAATCTCATGTCTGAACATTTATATCCACTTTGATGCCCTTTATCGTGCAGGGTATTTAATCTTCCGCATGTCGCTTTATCTTCTTTGAATTTATCTTAATGTTTTGCGAATTTAGTCCGGGAGTCCCAATTCAGCGGCTTCTGTTAGTAATGTGATGAGTTCTTTTCTTCTTTCACTCAAAGCTCGCCGAATCCAATCATGAGTCATTCGAAAGCCTGAACTCAAACAGGTTTCCAGAGCTGAACTTCAGCATTTTCGATAGTAAAGACACTAAAAAACCACTCAGAAGCATTTGCGAATAAATGGATTTATTCCGCAAAATACACTCCGAGAAAAACGAGCATCTAAGTTTCAGTTTGACCGGACAGGAATTCAGAAAGTTTTCACCTTCAAATGTGAAATATTCTTAATTTTAAAAGTAGCTATAAAAACAACAAAGACAAGTTTTCTACAGGCTGCGATATACCCTGCAGCGCTTAGCTAGCTTCTAGCTGCCTTCTACAGCAGCTGAGCTTCTTCTTGCCTTGGCCCTAGCTTATGCATGGAATATGCATTCTTGATGAACTTCGTTATTTATAGTCCAATCCTTATGAAATTATCAGGGCTTGAATATGGCATAAAAAAGTGTGTATATACCAAAGCACAAGGCTCTACCCTAAAGACGAATGTTTTTTCTTATTTAAATAGGGAACAGGGGAGTTATCCAAGAAATTAACTATTTTCAATTTGTGTATTCTCTGCGAGAAGCTACATTCCAAGTTTGATGCATATCGCGCTAATAGTTCTCGAGATATGCGGAAAAAACAATATCTCAAAATCGATATTTATCGATAATATGTAAAGGGCAGGTGATATTGAAAGCACATAGTTAACTTGTTCTGTTAGTTACATATGAGAATATATATTTCAAATTTTGAGTCTCTAGCTCTTGTAGTTTCCGAGATCGATCAGGAATATATACAGCTTATGGGGTCGGAGATGTTACGATCTATGTAAAGTAGGGTTACGTTTTCCAACCTATACATCCAGATATGTCAACTAGGCGGGAATCCGAAATATAACAAAAGGAATCTTTAACAAATTTATCACTAGTCTTGTAGTTGACTTTATACAGTTTGTAGGCATAAAGTCTGAAACATATTTTCGTACTTGTTGTCATGCAACCTTTTATTTGTTTCGATACTTCCTGAACTGATGAATGCGCCTCGAAAAATTAATTTAATGATGCAACTTTATATATTCAACCCAATGTATATCATTATTCAACATGATTGATGCACTCTGAGAAAAAAGTCAAATATTGTAAAATCGAGTAAAAACGTGGACAAAACGCGGCTCAAATTTTTTTTGAAGATTGGAATTCTGATTCTAGGGAACTTTATAATAAATACTTGAATATGGTTCTCAGTCTAAAGAATATTGTACATGTATATGTCTTAAGAGGCTTATTACAAGTAACCAAGTATTTTTTTTGTGCAGATATATGTAAAGGTTGACATATCTGGATATATAGGTTGGAAAACGTAACCCTACTTCACATAAGAACTTGAACTGTATTTCTACCAAGTCTCAAACCGAATTAAGCAAGATTTGTTATTTACATCATGAGCGGCATAGCTGAGATTACAGATCACAGTTTAACATCTACACTTCTTCTGGATTTGAACCAGCTGCTTGGTTCAAACCTTAACTTACTTTACATAATATTATTTTAAACATATATTAAGAGGGACATCTATTGGAACTTGGATTTGCGCTCCATTGTCATACGCAAGATCTCTCCACGAGCTTGCCTTTCTCTCACTCTCTCTCTCTCTCTCACTCCCTCTCTCTCTTATTCTCTCTCTCTCTCTCTCTTACTCCCTCGCTCACACTCTTTCTTGCTTCCTCGTCCACCCTCCCTCTCTGTCGCCGTGTAACCCTTGGCAATTGCGAGGCACTCATGAGACAATCCAATCCTGCGCAACACCTGTGCGAGAGGCAGCTCGACAGGCTGTCTACGACAGGGTGTCCGCTCTGCAGGCGCGATTAGACGCTTCAATGGCCGCCCCGCCGCCCCGTCCCGTGGACATGTCGTCGAATTGGCACTGGGCTATAACGGGGACTGGGCCTGTGAGGGACGGCAGGCAGCAGGCGCGGGCACATGTTCGATTATGGCCAAAACGCGACCGAGCAGAACCAGAGAGAACTTAGCTCAGATCGTTGGCGGTGCCCGACTGCACGATACTCTGTTCGCTACCGAGAGAACAGCTCGAAACAGGTTGAAAAGCGACTGCTCGATTATGAGATCAGTGGCTCTTAAACTGTTAGCCCCAAGTCAGTCGATGTGAGGAGGCTATTAATCTGCCTGCTAACTAGCAGGGCTCTTGCTATAAAACTGTAAGAAAAGTGACTCTCAAACTGTATTTATAAGGCACTGCCTTTCCAACTGTAAGATTGGAAAATAAACATTGTTGAGTGAATCCAAGTATAAAAAGACTGCAAGAAAAGTGGTTCCAAAACTGTAGCCTTAAAGCGGTGCCTTTCCAACTGTTACTTTGGCGAATATAAATTTTTAAGTGGATCTTAATATTTTCAATCTAAGGAGGTTTTCGAGCCGTTAAAGGCCTCTTACTTTAAAACTGGAAGAATAGTTCCTGTAAAACTGTAGCCTTAAGGCGGTGTCTTTGCAACTGTAACTTTGGCCAATATAAATGTTTGCAAGTTTCTAAATATTTTCGGGTTAATCTAAAAATAAGGTTTTGGAGCCATTGAAGGACTCTTATTTTTAAGCTGAAAAAGTAGTTAATGTAAAACTGTAGCCTCACGGCGGTGCCTTTCCAACTGTTACTTTAGAAAAAACATGTTTGCGCAGATCTAAATATTTTCGGCTCGATCTAAGGGGGAAGATGTAAAAAGGCCTGGTAAGTTCACGGACTCTAACCCTGTGCGAATCATAGCTCTAAAAGTGTAAATCCAAGGCTGTTCCTGTAAAACTGTAACATTGGGAAAATATCGATTATTACCGATATTGAGAAGCTATCAGCAGACAGCTTTGGTGACACAAGCTCCAAAACTGCGCGAGCAGCGGCTCTCAAACTGTAACATTAGCGAGGTGCCTTTTCAACTGTGTCTCAAGAAGAGACATTTGCCTCGATCTTAAGAGGAGTTTAACTATTGTCAACTTGCTATGCTCTCGAGCAGTTGTTCTAAAACTGTAAGAAACAAAAATAGTTGCTCTAAAACTGTAACAGCTGTAGAGTTTTGCGTGGCCAACGAAATGTTTCCCACAAATTGAACGGACAGTCGAACGGACGGACTGGCGGACGGACGGACGGGCGGACGAATATACCCCATTGAACAATTGCGTACAGGGTAAAGTAAAGAGCGCGCGCGCTTTGAGTATTGTTAAAAGGTCGTGGGCCCGACCCGCGGCTTGGGTCGGGGGTCATCGATAGCTGCTTCGCTTGACTGAGTGCGCAAGGGTAATGAGAGGCGCGGCCCTGAGCAGGCGCAGGCTGAGGCCGCCGCCGCTGCCACGGCTGCTGCTGCTGCCACGGCTGGCAGTATCGCAGAAGCTCTGCTGTCAGCTCGTTGCTCCTGGCCAGGAAAAAAAAAAAGAGGTCCGACAATCGCAAACGCAATCGCCCAGCCGCATTCCGTGGCCAGTCGCAGCGCGAGACGGAATCCAGCGCGGACTTTTCACATCTAGTTGCTGCTCCTCATCCTTCTCCTTCGCCTCCTCCTTCTCCGGCGCCTGCTCCTGCTCTTAAGCTCTTCTTTTTTGTTTGTTCTGTGTGTGTGCGTGTGTGTGTGTGTGTGTGTGTTGAGAAAATCGACGTGAAAATCAAGGCGAAAACAAATTCGGAAATATTTTTGAGCAAATATGATTGTCAATATGCCCGTCAATGGGCCGAACAGCAGCGCGGCTCAGTCGCATCCCAGTGCCAGCAACAATAACAACAACAACAACAACAACAACAACAACTGCAACAACAACTGCAACAACAACAACAACAACTGCAACTCGCTGCAATCGCCGTGCGAATTCAATTACCTGAAACGCAAATACGAGACGCAGCTGGAGCAGCAGCCGCTGGAGCCGTACGAACAGCTCGCGGCGAATCCGTGGAAGAAGCGTCATCTCGACTACGATGCCGGCGGCGATATGTGCTTCCAGCTGCAGCTGGACACGAGCAGCGCAGCCACATCGAGCGGCGCCGCCTCCTTCATCAACGATCTGTTCGCCTACGACAGCAGCCTTCTGGTGCCCGCCGCCTCCTACTGTGCGCCGCCCAGTGCCCCGTTGGAGGCCGATGCCGGTGGCTGGCAGACGGGCGAGCTGCTCGAGCTGGATCATCGCTACAATTCCGGACTGCAGGCGGACTTCTCCCAGCTGAATGCGACGCTGCCGCCGCCACCGCCCCAGCAGCAGCAGGAGCTGCAACCACAGCAGCAGCAGGATCAGAGACAGCAACAGCAGCAGCAGCAGCAACAGCAGCTGGAGATGGTGTCCAGTGCCAGCTTTTTGGTGCCCATTCCGCAGAAGACACAGCCGGCCCAGGTCGGCTGTCGGCCCGTGGCTTGTGGCAGACGCTCTTCGCCGGCGGCCAGCGAATCGGAGGCGGATTTCGAGGACAAGAATCTGTCCTGGCTGTTGAATTTCAAGTTCGATGAGTTTCCGCATCTGTCGCCGGATGTTGGCGGCGTTGCCCGGCTGGGCAATGGACCCGGTGTTGGCCTGGAGGCGGCCACGCCCACAGCGACTGCTCACATGTCGAACGCATCGCCCTGCAGCTCGACATCACCCGCATCCGCATCCGCAAGCACATCCAACTCGAGCCAGTCGCTCAGCTGCCACACAACGCAGCTGGAGCCGCGCGGACGCTGCTCGCCCAAGAGCTGCACATCCCCGTCAAACACAACGACAGCAACAGGAGCAACAGGAGCAACAACAACAATAACGACACCGACCAGAACTGGCCGCAAGTTCGAGGAGCTGGTCATGGAGGTCACCTCTGAGATGGATGGCAACGATATGATTGTGGCCGAGCATGTCGTCATCGAGGATACAACGTCCAAGGCGTAAGTACGAGGTGGCCCAGTCAGGGGAAGACATCTCAGAATAAAATAAGACCTCTTGGAAAGCATATTCCATCATATTCCATAACTCCAGCAAAGCCCTAGCACCCCAAACCTTTTGACTTTAGGACTTGGGACAAGCGGCAAAAGTATTCCTTTAAGAGTATTCCTTCCTCTCAGTTGAGAGACTTAGGTTTCTGCTCTCCCTAGACCGAGCTATCATAATCCGTTTAGATAATAGATCACATCATCTTTCGTATCATATTGCCGAACTCCTACGAAGAACACTCCAACAATCCTCCATATTATGCAGAGCTTTAGGAATTGGAGTTGCAATCATGTTCCCGAATTCATGTGAAGGACTTGGGACCATATCTGTAGGCAACATCCAAGCTGCGGGAGTATTCCTTCCTCTCAGTTGAGAGACTTAGGTTTTTGCTCTCCCTAGACCGAGCTATCATAATCCGTTTAGATACTAGATCTCATCATCTTTCATATCATATTGCCGAACTCCTACGAAGAACACTCCAACAATCCTCCATATTATGCAGAGCTTTAGGAATTGGAGTTGCAATCATGTTCGCGAATTCATGTGAAGGACTTGGGACTTGGACAAGAGTATTCCTTTAAGAAAAATCTCAGTTAACAGGACTTAGATATCTGCTCTCCGGAAACCGAGCTATCCTAATCCCATTAAATACTAGATCATTTCATCTTTCTCTGCGAATAGCAATCCAACACTTCTCTTTCTTAAACTCAGGTTGAAGGTTTTCATTTATCTTTAGGCAACAACCAAGCTGTAAGGAAGAGCAAGGAATAACACTTCCACGGTCAAGCTACTGCAATCAGTTTAAATACAAGATTAAAGATCATTAATGAATGAAACTCCATCAGAGTACTTGAAATCCTCTATATTAAACTTGACCTTAGGAAGTGAACTATAGGCAACATCCGAGTTCCTTGAAGAGAGATCTCAGCTCTGGAAACCTAGATATCTGATCCGCTTAGATACTATTTCAAAGGTTATATATTTACGATTTTCTGCGAAAAACACTTCATCAGAGTACTGAAAATTCACTTTATTTAACTTGACTTTAGTCATTGGGTTATGTTATTTATTTGCAAACGACATCCAATCATTATTCCCATTGATCCGTGAGATTCCTTTCTAAGCACAAGATGAATGCAACACATCAGATAGTTACTTGAAACAAGAACCCAAAGGAGCATATTTGGGAAAGCAAAAGAAAACAAACTCAACCAAAATAGATTTCTCACGGAAATGTCGCAAATATTTCATCATTTTGAACCCTCTAAAGGGATTGCTGGAAACTAAACTTCCGCAAAGGGTTTCAACTTATATGTTCCTTGATTTCGCGACGTTTCCCAACTCTTTTAAGTGACTTATGTGGGGTTTGATCGAATAGAATAGCCCAGATTGGACAAAATTTCAACTATTTATAACAGTTGATCCATTTTCCTGTTCCTTGAAAGAACTTGCTCGTAATTGAGACCTTGATTGTTTATTGTTATATCAGATTTACGTTCTCCAGCCAAGTTAGCCGCTTATTAATTTTTGTTTACGCATTTCCTAACTTGTTCAGCAATTGCTTAGTGGAGTTTAATATCCTAAGTCTGCACTTGATTATTAAAGTACAAGTCTTCAGATCTCTTTCGAAGTATTTTAAACATTTGTAATAAATACTTCGGGCTTATCCCAGGAATACTAAATAGGTACTTCCGGAATTTCCCAAAAATAATACAAAATTAGTATATAATACTTCGGGTTTATCCCAGGAATAATAAAAAAATAATCAATAAATATTTGGGGCTTATCCCAGGAATGATAAATAAATAATAAATAAATACTTCGGGTTTATCCCAGGAATATTAAATAAATAATCAATAAATATTTGGAGCTTATCCCAGGAATGATAAATAAATAATAGATAAATATTTCGGGTTTATCCCAGGAATAAAAAATAAATAATAAATAAATACTACGGGCCTTTCCCAGGAATAATAAATAACTCGATTATCTTAGAGTAAAATATTGTAGACTTCGGCTCGTAGCTAGGGACAATGCTGTGAAGCATATTCTCAAAGAATCAAATAATTTAAATAGACAAAAATTAGCTTCCAGCGAAAGTTTTCAAAATTCCGTCAAGACAATGTCGAGGATTGCAAGTTCTGATTTTTCCCCAATTCGCTTGTTGACTTTCAGGAATTTCTGTATTTAATTGAGAGATTTGCAAGCTGGATTGAGTTTAATATTTAGATAATATATATATATATATATTTTTTCGATTTTCGTCAAAGTCGAACGCAACTCCATTTTAATAAATATTTATTTGACGTATTTTTTGTCTCTCTTCTGCTCTCTTTCGCGCTCTCTCTCGCTCGGCGTTCGCTCTTGTGCGATGGGGCGCCAATCGATGTGGCTGAACGTGGCCACCCGCAACCAACCCACCAACGAACCAACCACCGCAAAACAAGCAGGCCAAAGAAACCACCGTTTACATACACGGAACTCATCGAATACGCCCTCGAGGACAAGGGTGAGCTGACGGTGTCGGGCATATACCAATGGATATCGTAAGTACTCGTTAACATCCACGATTCCAGCCAGTCGAGCCAGCCCCGCTCCACCCGCTCCACCCGCTCCACCCGCAGCCCGAACGACTTGGCTTTGATGGGGGTGGAAAAGCATTTGCTGCTGTGTGTGTGTGTGGGGTAGCAGATGGGCAGGTGTGTGTGTGTGTGCAGGTGTGTGTGCAGGTGTGCGGGATGGGGGATGGGGGATGGGGGATGTGGCAATGCCGGATGCAATTAAACAAATCTCAAGCATTTCTTTGCGCATTCCCGTTGGCCACTTTTTTTTTAGCTTCCTCTTCTTGCTGGCCTTTATTTCATTTATGTTTGGCTAACAACCGACAACAACAACAACAAATATAGAGCTAAAAACTTGCCAGTTCCAATAATTTATTACCTGTTAAAATTCTTGGCAAGTTCTTTGTTCTTTTTGTTGCCATTTTATTATTGTACTTTTTGTGTCTTTGCATTCGCATTCGTTTTAATTCTTAAAACACAGCCGTTTTTGTTGTTGTTCAACAAGTTGTCCCATATATCAAGATTTCGACGCTTTACCCCAAGGATTAGGCATAAACAAATAAATGTAGGTAATATATTATGTGGCAGTTGCTAAATGGAGTTATTCCAAATTTATACACTTTTATTTACAGCCGAGTCGATCTAGCCATGTCCGTCTGTCCGTCTGTCCGTATGTCTGTCGCATGTATGAACGCAAGGATCTCAGAGCCTATAAGAGCTAGAGACTTGAAATTTTAGCTGTGGGTCCTCCTAGTGCCCGCGCAGATCGAGCTTGTTTCCGATATTCGATAACTTGCCCCGTTTCCAAGTAATCGATATCGAAATCCTGTTTTTTGTTGTTGTTGAAAGAAGAGGGTTCAGGGTATCCCCTAGTCGGGAGCTCCCGACTAGAACCTCTTACTTGTTTCTCTGCTATTTATTCCAATTTATCTTGACCTTAAGGCAAAAGCTCTTAAATGTATTGTACTTTTTTTATGGATCAGGAAAAACGTTTTACATTTTATCTCTTGCATAATTAAAATGTGTCTTTCGTCACGACATTTGTGAGGGACTAGAAAGTAAAGATATCATCGGCACGCCGAAGACTTAATACCCTTCTAGACATTTGCCTTTGGGCTTTGCAGATATGTGAGCAGAGCGAAAGAAGCTCGTGCATGCTGAGTTTGAGAAAAATGTCTTGCAAAACAGAATATTTTGTCATACAAAAATTCATTCATGTTATTCTTTGTGGGAATTTATTTGAAAAATGCTTTCCTTCTTGGTGGAAATGGAGTTCAAATATTTGGTGGGTGACGTTTCGTATTAAAATTGATTTCCAAAGATCTATGCAAAAAATCATTTGAGACGTGTTTCACAGTTTTCGCGGAATCAGAGGTTCCTCGATGGCAAACGCGATTTCATGATTTTGTTGGTGAAGTTTTAAGTTTTGTCCGATTCAAACTAATTTTCAAAGATCTTTGTGCGGGTCAAAGGTTTAATAAACGATAAAGATTCTCTTTCAGCTCTGATTCCTTATTCGATGCACTTAAAACATATTTGTAGAAAGAAGTGGAAATCTAGATGGGAAGATTTAAACGGGCGTGTTATTAGTGGAAATGGTTATATCGAATATGTATATCAAAAAGTTCCACGGGCAAGGCCGGGCAATACGCGCTAGTTTATACATATATATATATATATATATATATATGTCAGCTATATGATATAGTGGTCCGATCCGGTCCTATGCACTGCCTGCAACAGAAAGACGAACCTATGTAAAGTAAATTTTCAAGATTTTAGCTTTAAGACTGAGAGACAGAGGCACAGAGGGAGGCTATATGAACTCAGCTTTTAATGCTGATCTAGAATATATATATATATACTGATCTAGAATATATATATATATACTTTAGAGACTTGGAGATTTCTGCTTCTATGCATTCCACAATTCATGACAAAACTATAATATCCTCTACAAGGGTTTAAAAGTAAGGTTTGTTTCTGGGTTTGAACCGGCTTGGTTCAAACCCACTTTGCAACATACATATATGTATTTCAGGGTCTCGGTAGAGTTTTAAATGCAATTGCCATCAATTTGCAAAGGGTAAAGAAAAAACGAGAAGATTCTTTTGGGATCATTTGCATTCGCTGTGCTGAAACTCCTTCAATTGGAAGTGCATAATTATCGTTGTGGCTCGAGAACTTTTAATTGGAAATGCATATTCGTTTCGTTTTACCGACTGTCTCGGTTCCATTTCCCTTCCCCCCCCCCCTGCCTTTTCGAAGGGGGTCACAAGAAACTGGGAAAAGCCGCAGAGGAACTTTCCATATACCCATATAAATATATATATGTTAAAATATATTTCGATGTGTATCTACATCAGTTTGACGACAATAATAAAAAAGTTTTAACACATTTTTCAAGGTTCATTAATTTAGCCCCTGCCACCTGCCACCTGCCACCCACTCCCCTCTCCCAAAAAGGAGGGGGGTGGACAAATTGTCAAAGTTGTAGGCCTAGTCGCAGCCCACGCAACGGCGCTAGCTTGTGGCAGGGCGCAGGGGGGCGGGGGCGGAGGAATCACTGTAAATATTTGAAGCCACAGCGAAAATGTTGCGTGTAAATATCCTATATATGTTAATGTATATAGAGACCCCTTGCCCCGCCCCCATAGGCCTGCACCCTGCCCCTGCCCCTGCCCCAGCAATTGATGACATTTGCCCATCAGCTGCCGCGGATTGGGGCACGGGCCGCAGCTCGGGCAACCTGTTCATTAAATGTAATGAGCCAGCAGACCGACCAAATCTACCCTGTCCTATCCACCCCACCCTCCCACCTGCCGCTCCCCCCTCATAGAGTCGCCTCCCTCGCGCCTGCTTAGTGAACTTTTTTTTATTGGGAAGTTTTCATTAACCATTCACAAATTTACTTTGTGGGCGCCAGCAAATAGGCTGGGCACGGGCGGGGCTTGGAGCTGGGAGAGGTTAGCAAGAGAGAGAGGGGGGGGGGGTTGTCGAGGGGTTGGCGCACAGCTGGGCGAAGGGCTGCAATCGTCAGGGACGCGTTCAAGGCAAAAAAAAAAAAAAAACAGGCGCCTGCGCAAACCTTGCGGCAGCTCGCCCACGCGAACCCCCGCGACCTCTGTGCATGTGTGTGGCAATTGCCCATGAAATTTATATACACACACACACACACACATGCACATGTGTGCCTAGTATAATTATTAATTGCCGGGGTTGGCCGTTTGCCGCCTTTTAGGGCCTGCTTCGACTCTTTTTCCGGCCTTTCTACACCTTTTACACGCCTGAATGCATCAGGATCAGGTGTTTGACAAGCGCAACTCGGCGCACAATTTCCAGCAATTACTCGGTCAACCCATTAACCAGGTCCCAGGTCCCAGGCACCAGCACCAGTCTCGAGTCCGAGCGGGAGCTGCTCTTCCGGTCAATTTGAATTGCATATTGAGTGTTTATTGGATGCGGATCATGGCTCATTGCACAGAGCTCAGGGCGAAGGGCGAAGGGTGGAGGGTGAAGGGGGAGGGGGGAGGGGTGAAGGGTGAGGGGTGAAGGGTGTACCAGGCAGGACACGGTGTGCAGGATCTGGAACGGGAAAAAGGTTCCCACTTCCCCGAAAAATACCTGAATCCAATCAGAATATTGCCAGGCAAGAGAGAGTTCGGTTTTAGCTGAAAGATAAGAGAGCAGGCAGATCGGCTATCTTCGGCACACCGAAGAGAAGATACCCTAGTCGAAATTTATATGCGCTTAGAGATATGTGATGGGGGCTTGTGAAGCTCGTTATTGAAGATTTCGCTGTAGAAGCAAACAAATTCTTTGCACAAAAACTCTTGCAGATTCTTCCTATAGCTGTCAAAGTCATATTGGGTCGAAAGAAAATACCTGTACGAGAAATTTCTTTGTTTCCCTAACTCTTATTTACTTTTAACTTATTTGGAACATCTTTTTAATATATATATTATATAGTATACCCAATCATATATATATAACAGCATATCATAAATAATCATATCATATGGATAAATGTAAAATGTTCTGTCTCTTGAAATTGGAATTGAAAATCTTTGCTTAGGGCTCATTTATCATATACTATATATAATAGCATATCATATATATCTTAGCATAAGTTTCTGTTTAGATAAATGTTTTGTCTCTTGAAAATATTTTCAACAATTTTTGCAAAATCTTCTTAACATAGTATATAGTATATATATAGTATATAGTATATCATATCATATCATATACTATATCATAAAATGTTCTGTCTCTTGAAATTGAAAATCTTTGCAAATCTTCTCAATGTAGGACTCCTATATCACATATGTCATAGCATACCATATAGTATACCATATAGTATACCATATCATATATATCTTAGCATAAGTTTCTGTTTAGATAGATGTTCTGTCTCTAGAAAATATCTTCACCAATCTTTGCAAAATCTGCTTAACGTAAGACCTCTATATCATATCATATACGTATACCATATCATATAGTTTATCATATCATGTATATCATTGTATAAGTTTTTGTTTTGATAAATGTTTTCTCTCATAAAAATACCTTCACCAAACTTTGCCAGCATATCTGCCAAATCGTAAGTCTTATGTCCAAAAGGGCATTTAAAGGTCGACGTTCACTTTTATTGAATAGAATTTGAATTCTAACATTAATAATTGAAAGTTATTTACCATTAAGAGCCTCGATTCAAGCTTCCTGCCTCCCTAGTTTCCCCCCTGAACATCAGAGCCTACGATCCTTTCTTATATATCTTTTTATAATCCTTTTCGAATAATATAATCGCATTCTTTCCATATCGAAATCTACATCTAAATGCATAAAAGTGACAAATAAGATTTGCTTCTCTGATTGTGGAGGACATCTTTAATGGGCAGCCGGCAGAGTCTGTCTCTTGTTCTGGCTTCTGGCTTTTGGTGGGCGTGGCCAGCTACGCCCCATTTGCTATTTAAAAAGTTTTCTTG